AGTTTCCATTTTGGAAACTCCCTTTCTAATTGTTTCCGTATTTAAAGGTGTTAATTTTCAAAAACGCCTATTCACCCCCCCTCTAGGCGACATCCTAGGTCCTTTCACTTTGGGGATGATGGCGTAGTCCCCAGATGCCATGGCGGTGGCGTCGCTGTCGAGGTTGCGGCTGACAACGATGGCGTAGTCCCCGGACGCTCCGGCGGAGGCGTCGTAGATGGTGGCGCCTTCGAGGATCCAGCGAAGCGGCGGGATATCGGGATGTCGCCGATGAAGGGCGTGTACACGCGACCGCAGCGATGATGACGAGCTGGCCCATGTATCGCCCAAGCGTCGCCGATGATGAGGCGTGGCGCTGACGACCATGATAGCACTTGTAGTAGGGCTGAGCAGAGACTGTAATGAAATAACCTTGTGGGGAAGCCCCCGAGTAAATAGTCCTCTGAATTTATAAGTATATTGTTCCTTTTTGTAATGAAATCGCTTTGTAAGTGATGAGTTTGTGCAAAAAATGAACGAAATTACATCCTTTGCTTATGGCAAGCAATTTTTTATCTTTCTCCCTTCTGTAGGAATAATTTTAGCGCTTTCCAACCCTTCTCATGGTCTAAGTCATAAGAAGCTAGGAACGTGGGCGAACTAATTCTGGTTGAACTGGTGAGCAAAGAGGTTGCAGCCGCTGGGGCGTGGGTGTCTCGCAGTCCTACCAGTTGTATTCAGAATCGGTTCCCAAAATCTTAGCCCTTGGGACTTGTTTATGAGGTGAATGGAAAACTTAGAGAATGTTTGTAAGTATAACCCAGGAGTTTTTTGCAAGCGCAATTTTTATATCACATATGTCACATATGTCACATGTTATGATCACATGCCAGCCCCCGAGTGAGATCTGACCCCTCGCCACCTGCAGGGGTCGGAAGTCACTAAGGGTCGGAGTTTTGTTATGACAAAATCTGATAAGGAAAAGTGTAAGCTTATTTTAAGGATAGAAACGACGTAGCTGTTCAATGTTCCAGGCGTTGGTGAAGACCTCGCCGTTGATGGTTTTCAACCGGTAGGCGCCTGGGCGAAGTACTTCCGCGACGACGTAGGGCCCTTCCTAGGGCGGGGAGAGTTTGTGGCGGTCCTTGTTGCTCTGCACAAGACGGAGGATGAGGTCTCCGACGTTGAAGGCTCGACCCCGCACCCATCGGCTGTGGTACCATCGCAGCGCCTGCTGGTACTTAGCCGAACGGAGAAGGGCAATGTCGCGGGCTTCATCTAGCTGATCCATGGCGTCTTGGTGAGATGCTTCGGCCCCCTTTTCGTCGTATGCTCTGATTCTTGGTGCTCCGTAGTCGAGGTCCGTTGGGAGAATGGCCTCGGAACCATAGACCATGAAGAAAGGTGTAGCCGGTGGTGGCGGCTAGGAGTCGCCCTAGGCTCCAGAGAGCACGGTGGAGCTCGAGATAGCCCGGCGTGTGCGAATTTGTTCAATCGGTCGAAAATTCTGGGTTTGAGGCCTCGAAGAAGCATGCCGATAGTTTTCATCTAGCTTAGGGGGAACGCAGCGTTGAGGATGTGTCGGGCGAAGGCCTGAGGGCCTGGTAGGCCGGGGCTCGGGCTTCGGTCCTCGTTGCTGTCGTAGCGCTCACCATGTCGGGGATGATAGCCGTGGCGTGCTGCTTCTCCATCGTTGCTTGATGGTAGCGTCTCCGGCGTCGATGATGTTATGCGTATGTCGCGGCCATGGCGGCGTTGATGTCTTTGGACGACGGAGGGCTGCCCCCGGTGGGCGGTGTTTGGTGTCTGGATGCGTCCTTGGTGGGGCGCACCGAGAGCGCTGCTACTGGTGGTGTTGGGTTCGTGTCGTCGAGACAACGAACTTTCCTTCTTCTTGGCCAATACTCTCAAACAACGTCGAATCTCCTGCGGGCCCGGCGATCTTCGGCCGTCGCGGCCTTCGGGAGGCCATGCAGCAAGGTGGTTGCTGCGGTGATGTTCTGGCTGGCTCGGGCGAAGTGAGGAAGGATCCCATCGTCGGTGAGGATCCTTTGGTGTACGGAGATGGCCGTGAGCGTGGCTGGCGCTTCTTGCCGTTTTCGGCGTTCAATCTCGCGATTGATGTCCGCGACTCTCGACGAGCCCTTGCCCGGCCTCATCGATCTCCTCGCCGACGGGCCTTCACCGCTCCATCCTTAGGCGAGATGGGGCCGCTGTCTCTTCCCGGATCTGCTTTGTCGGGGTTGTTTGTAGGGGTGACCTCTTCCTGAGGCGCTTTCGATGTGACCTTTGGGGTCTCTCGTCATGAAGCACTCCGGGAAGGGTGGTGGCTCCCCCTATTGGAATCCAAGCTAGAGAACGATCCCGGCTCCTCGTTGAGGAGCCCGTAAAGGGTCTCCGTATCATGTTCAATCGCCCCCATGAACTCGATGTCCGTGGGTGACTGAACCATCTGTAGCGCCAGAAGGTGGCTAGCGGTCGCCGCAGTGTTGCGAAGACCGAACAAAAACGCTGTCGGGGCGCTCCGTTCGGGACCTTCTAGACATAGGGTGACGTTGTGCGAGACCTCCCTTGGTGACCGGACTCCTAGGGAGTTGCCCGACGGGCCCTCAAGCCTAAGACGGCTGAGGTTGATGGAAGGGAGAGATGGGGCCACAGAGTGAGTCAGCGCCAACTCTCCTTCTAGTGTGATGATGAGGCCTAGGTCGCCGAAACGCATGTGTGCGCCCGGGACCCAGGTGATTGCGTGGGTGGCCATCCGAGGCCTGATTTGGAACGCACAAGGGCCCCTACCTGGCGCACCAACTATCGGTATTTCATACAAGCACCGGCAAGTAAATTTATAGTAATGCGCGTTAGGCTCGGATGGTGCGCTAAAGGACACAAGATTTATACTGGTTCGGGCCGAAAGTCCCTACGCCCAGTTTGTTGCTGCTCGTGTTATTAGCACCGTGAACGGTTTGCAGTAAGGGGTACAAACGATCGAGAGAGGGACTGGTCCCAAGTCTCTGATGGAAGGGTTGAAGGGATGTCAAGAGGTTCGACACAACTTGACTATGCGTATCTGAGAGTCGTCTCGTTCGATCTTTTTCTCCCTCTCCTTTTCTCCTTTATGGAGGAAGCGCATCCCCTTTTATAAATGAAGGGGTTGGCTTTACCAGGGTGAGGGCTTTAGGATGCGTACTCTACTTAGTCTTGTGGCTCACGTCTACCCGGCCTCGTTCTTCATTCTGATGAGTGCGAAGGAAGATAAGCGCCTACAATCAATGTCTCAGAGAATGTCGGGTTGGTTCTGAGAATGCTACCTACTTGCAGAGGTATGGGCCGCAGATGATGGTTTTGACTTTTGAGCCTCCCCGGCCTTGCTCGCACGCCTTCTGGTTCCTATGAGTCTTCGTCGGAGGGACGCGGGGTCGGGGTAGCGCCATGGCCAAGGTCTTCTGTCTTGGTGGACCTGAGGGGTCGGGAAGCGGGCGCCGCTCCCTTGGGTCCACAGCGTGGTGACGGAATATCCGTCGTTAAATGGAGATAGCAAATCCTTTTACGAGCGTAGTGGTTGTCGTATATCTTCGTCCGGGTTCCGTGTCCCAGAGGCCGGCGCGCCTACAACTCTCTGGGTGGAGAGCTCGCACCTCGACACCTTTCGGCTCTCTGCAGCGCTGGAAGGGGCCCTAAAGCGCCTGTCCCGTCATCCCTGGCAGTACTTTTTTCCGCCAGGTGCAGTGTATGGTTCTTGGAGCCACGGTTGACTGAACGTCTTGTCTTGCCTGTCTCTATCATCCTGCTAGTCGGCGTGAAGCGAGACCAATCCCTATCTCCTGGGCGAGACCGACCCTGCTCCTCTGGGGTCGGGCGAGGCGGAGTCTATCCCTCAGCCCTCGGGCGAGACCGAGCCCGCTCTAAAGGCGTCGGGCGAGACGGAGACTAGCCCTGGGCCCTCGGGCGAGACCGAGCCCACCCCAAAGGCGTTGGGCGAGGTGGAACCAAGCTCCTGTCATTCCCGTGAGGGGTGAAGCAACGCTCTTATATGTCTAGAAGTTTTTATCGTTCGGTGGTTATTGACTCCACCTTCTGAGGTACCCCGGTATCAGGTCCCCGACAGGGTGTGTCGAGTAGCTGAGTGCCGACCTTAATTCCACGGTACAGGTGAGTCACGCATCTGAGTAATATATTCCATATCGCTCGTCCTTGTGTCGAGTAGCTGAGTGCCGACCTTAATTCCACGGTACAGGTGAGTCACGCATCTGAGTAATATATTCCATATCGCTCGTCCTCCATCAAAACACTAGTGAAAATAGCATGGGTCTGTCCCGTCCTCCTTCATTATCCCAAGAATCAAAACAAATGGTACGTGAGAAGGTGAAATGAACGAACACCAATAGATTGGGGTTATTGCTGCCAGTGAAGCCTGAGATAAAAGGAGATCCACTTATACATGATAACAACGTTGCTGAGCAGTGAGCACAGCCATCTCTTCTTCGAGAGGAGCATCGTCACGCCATTTCGTTGGATAAAGGAATAGAGCATTAGAGCTGCTTCCCAGCGAAGATCGTCGGATAAAGCTGGTTCCAGCCGAAGCCTCGCAAAGTTTTGGCATATGCCGCACCACGTGGATGGGACAGATTTCCACCACAACAAAATTGCCCCTGGTGTATCAAACCAAAAAAGGATGAGTCGACGAGAGAATTATCCGGATGCTTTAGGGCCCTCACGTCGGAAGCTATTTGCCAGAATAACACAAAGGGGACCTCAACAGCACCATGGATAAGCTCGGGAACTTCACAACACGACAGAGAAGGCCATTCTTGATCTTCAATTCTTCTCTTCATCTTACATGGAGAATGGCATCTACAGAACTGCTATACCTATATTGATAATGTGATACACTGGTAATCTGGTATTGATATTAGTACACACTACTCACACAGTGCCGTCCTCCACCTAGTGTTATTGCAGGTTACATGTCTTCCGTACAGATGGCTGACAGAAGTAGTGAAAAAAAGGGTTTAGTAGCGCATCCTTTAGGCCTTGCTGTCGTTGTAGGAGTTCAGATCTGCATGAGTGTCCTTGTAACGCTGGGACAGGTATGCAGAACAGGTGATCGGAGGGAACCTGGACAGTGGACAGACAATGCAATTGTAAAGATTTGGAATTTAATAGAACGGACATATATATCCTGATGAACAGCAGATGCTTAGCTGCCTGGCTTTAGCCATCTGAGGGGGCAAAGAGCTTACTTTGGAGGATTTGATTCGGATTTGCAGGTCGGCAGGCACTCAACTACGCAGTCATGGCTTGGTTCCACAAAGTAGGCTATCTGTTCCAGACAAGGCAAACACCGCCATTGAGATCAACTAATTCAGCGCATATTATATATATATATATATATATATATATATATGCTTCGTTTCAATGCAACTGGAACAGGGAAACAACTTAAGGACTTGTGTTTTTCTTTCCTTTTGTCCTTTTCGTCTTGCAATACTTCAGGTTACAATAATATATAACTAAGGCAGTCTACCAACTCAAATGAATTTATCTACATAACAGAAGAAACTTACCGAGTAGCGTTCTCGCCCATCTAGGACCACTCGATGTAAGGTTGACCTATATGTATGAGAAAAAATTGTGCTATATCATGAGAAAACAGTAATTACTAGTAAACAAAGCATAGCAGTGTTTAACCGCTATTTTCTTCCTCAAACTGACAGCAACACTATTTAATTCTCCCAATAATAAGCAAGTGATACTAGTATCCTACCTGAAAATACCATTACTCCACCTTTCAAGCATATCACCAAGATTGACGATAAATTCTCTGAAAATTCAAGGCCAAACACATTATGAGATATGATTACCAGCGTGAACTTCATGCCTTTACTTTCTTCTTCTTTTTTTAAACAGAATGCCTTTACTTTCCAAACACATGACTCAGTGGAAACATAAAGTAATTTAGATTAATAGGCTTTACCCTTTCACAGGAGCTACATATTCCCATACTTGAGGCTGAGCATTCTTGTCCTTACATATCTGCAGAATTCAAAAGGGTGAAACCCAGTTGAAACAAATCCAAATAAAGACATTAGAGAAGGTATTGCTTCAAGACGTATTTATTACTTGGAGTCCAACTACATCATCGGTTGCCAGGAGAGTTATCAGGCCAAAATCTGAATGGGCACCCGCTCCATAAACACCCTTTGCAGGATTTGACACTTTACCTGATGATAGAAAGAACATCAAACAACAGAATTCGTTATGTTCCTTGTGGGTAAATACCATTTGACATGAAAGCATGACCTGTTTTTTGTCCACCTTCATAGTGCAAGAGCCTTAAAGTGGCTATAGGCTCGCCAAGCATTTCAGGTCTATCAAAGAAGTCCACATCTAGATCTAGAGCAAGAGCAATGATCCTTGCCACTGCTTTTGCTACTCTCCTGAAATTTATAGAATACAGATCAGATCAGAACAGTAAAAGCTCTGATCCAAGACACTATGAACTTCATTACCATACTTCAATTGTCTAGATATGAGCATATTACCATACTTCATTACCATACATTAATAATCAACTTTATCAGATTTAGAACTAAATTAGAACCAATTAGTATAATAGATGTGCTTCTATATAAAGTATCATTTTTAAAGTCAAGGAACAATGAACTCACAACGCCTCCCTGTGATATTGCTCCATCACTTCTCTCCATTTTGGTAATACTTCTGAAAGGAACAATGGAAAGTATATATAAAAACAGGTAAACACAATGTAATGTCATGATAATCACCAAATTAATCGTTAAAGGAATCAGAATTTAAATGATGATACTGGAGCAAAGGATATACTCTTATGTGGCAAAAAAACCCAACAAAGAAGAGTTGGACTATAAATAATCTACAATTATTCACCGCGTTTCAAACATACGTTAAACCAGTGTATGAGGTTGTAAGTACAAAACTGAATGATTCATGAACAGAAAAACTTTATTCATGAGTCATTCAGTTCTGTAAATGGTATCTCAACAAAAAGGAAAGAGCTTTACCTTTAGAAGGCCACTGATTTGGACCATAAAATGGCCTGTTTGCTTCTGGATCATCTGCAGGTACCTCAACTCCAATATAATATCCTTCCTTGTAGTCACCTGAAACAGATTATAGAGATTATAAGAATGTGTAAAATATGGAACTGAAAATAGTACAGTACATAAACAAAGGGCATCCAGATTTAAGTGTGATTTTCTCAGATCAGTTGCCATTAGATTTATTTATTTTTTTAAATGTCCTATGCTTTTGAAATTAATACTTTTATAACCTGACAAGATTTTCATCACTAGCAGTTCTCTATCATAGATGACCCATGAAAACTAGATTTATGTGCCGCAACAAGCATGGAGTTTGCATAACTAACCATTCACTTGATTTTCAGGGTCAAGAATTTCATCTAGCATGGGTGTGTACCCTCGATTCTTCTCGTCTCGGAGAAGCTTCATTTTCTCACTGTGAGGAAGGTCAAAGAACTTCTTGCTCTGGGCAAAAACTTCATCCATGAACTCTTGGCTTATCCCATGATCCACAACATAGAAGAAGCCTGAATCCAGGCATGCCTACCGAATAAAAACATTGCTTTCAGGAAGAAGAATATGATACAGAGATGTTATAAGAACAGAGCCAGCAAAGATATTTACTCCCTCCATCCCAAATTATGTCATTCCAACTTTGTTGGAGAGTCAAAGCATCTCAAGTTTGATCAAATTTATGTAATGAAATAATAACATTTATATTATCAAATAAATATCATTAGATTCTTCATTAGCTATATTTTCATAGTATACATATTTGATGTCATAAGTATTTATAATTCTCTCTATAATTTGGTCAAACTTAAGATGCTTTGACTCTCCAAGAAAATCGGAATGACTTATAATTTGGGACGGAGGGAGTAATACTCAAGAAATCAGCTGACAAACATGTAAACTTCAATATCATGCACACTAGATTTTTAGTGGTCCAAGACTAAATTATAGCCAATCATGAGGCAATAAACTGAACAAAGTGTGGCTCAGGAAATAAGTATCAGAAAATCTAGAACATAAACAAGCGGATGCATGCTATATCACTGTCTTACTATTTACCAATTCCAAAATAACATGTAAAAAACTGTAAACATGCATTTATATGGATTGTGTCATAGAGGCAAGATGTACTTTTGACATAATCAAGGAAATAAAAATGTAAACTAGGACAAATAAACTATCCAAGTACCAACAAGAATCCACCAAATAAAGAGAACCAACTATACCTAAATCTTTGGGCAAAGTTGCTGCCTTTTCTGCTGATGAACCTAACAACAGACACCTAAAGAAAGCAATTAAATGAACCTAAGCAAGATGGCAGGTTCGCAGGTCACTCTCGTCAGCATAATCTAAACGAACCTTTAGTTTCAAAAGGGATGAGATTTGAAGGCACAATTAAATAATATACTAGGTGAAAGCAATTGCTGACCAATGGTAGTGCAATTAGTGTAATATATTGAAATCCATGTTCTTGTGGAACTTGTGCACTGATAGCCACCCAATTCTATTAAGTATTAACCTGCCTTACGAATAGCACAAAAAAAAAAAGACATAATAACAAGCAGATTCCTACACTCCTTCATGAAAAGAAACAACAATACTGCAGTGATGGAACTCTGGAAGTGCCTTCTATTACAGTTATAAATAACCAAAAAGACAAGATGATTCTCGAGAAAGGAAGTTCCAAGCCTCTGCTATTCAGACACCTGAGCGACTAAAATTACGATAATCAAGAAACAACCGCAGACCTGCTTGAGGAGCGCGACCGATTTCTGGACGTCCGGGTCCGCCAGGCTGATGCAATTCAGGTTAGTCCTCGAGATCGGGCTCTCCATGCTCGGCGCTTCTCTCTCCCTCTGAGGCTCTGATCTCTCTTGGATTTGCCGCTATTCTTTTGCTCCCGCCGCCGCCGCCTACCCTCTTCCCTGGTAGCCGCCTTCCCCTTTTCTTGATACGCTCAGGCTCAGGCAGAGCAGGAGTTGCCGGATTGGAATGGTCTGACGAGACGATTTATAAATGTGGACGAGCCTGGAGAGGAAGGTTGGTGGAAAAGGTTGCAAAAGCCAAGGCCAAGACCACTCCAAAAGCGCATTGGCAAAGGGACCCAATCTTGGTGGCCACCGACTGCCTGGGTCTTTGGGCCAAGAAAAAAAAAAGAAATCAATTTGTTGTATTTATTTATATTTGTGTTTTCTGATTTTATATCTTTGCTTAACACTTTATTTATGTTTTAGCTTTACTGTGTCGTGAGAATATATGATCAACTCAACTATGGACGGGCCATATTACAGGCAGCCAATTTCCCTCAAGTCTTTTTTGTAGCGGATGATGAATGAGTGCTCATGCAAAACGATTATTTATGTTTTCTTGTTTCGTGAGAGAATCTTCGATGGGCTCACTCACATCTCAAAGCAGCCAATTTTCCTTGGTATTTTATTCCGTGAAAAGACTGGTTACGCATTTGTTTAGATGCATGTGTATCCACCTCAACCTACATGTATTGGAGTGGAATAGAATGTAATTTATGTCCAATCCACTTCAACGTACGTGGATTAAGATGAATACATGCACATCCAAAAGACCTTAGTGAATATGATAGTTTGTTTTTTCTCGTGTCGTTTGTGTAATCTAATTTGTCCTCTTTCGTGCGGTTGGTTTTTTTGCGTGGTAAATATATCACTCATAAAATCATTGTTCGCTTAGACGGCCATTTAGCGTATTTAGGGCCTGTTGGGCAACACTTCCCTTTAGTCCACTCCACACGAGAAGTTGCAAAGCACCGTCAAACACCGCAGCTCCCGACAACTTGTACTACGGGTAGGGAGAGAAAAAAACTTGCTCCCCATCCACTATCACTTCTCCCCCCGTTGTCTCACCGTCCTGAGACCAACCTCGTCGTCATCGAGTTGGCCAAGACCCAGCCCACGCCTCATCCTCACGCCACCACAGCTCACCCTCCTCTTCCTCTATTGGGTTAGGACTTGAAGCTGTCGTGGGAGCTCTACCAAACAACATCGTTTCGAGTCTACAACAGAACGGAGCAGGATAAACGACGAGCGGGTGGAAGTGGGTTATTAAAATGGCCCTTAGACGCTACCTGGTATGTAGTCATGCTTGCTTGACTATTTAAATGTTTATGTAGCAACATATGGCTGCTGGTCACCAGTGGAGCAAAAACCAAGTCCTCGAAACGGAAGATCATATCAGGAATAGAGGAAATGGAAGTAGGTCCACCTTGACAGCCCTACTGACGACACTTCTCCTTCCGTGAAGCACGGTGAGCACAACTGTCATCGGGCTAGAGCCCGGAGGATCTCTCAAATAGTCAAAACTCACATGTAGAGTATCAACCGTGGTCTGTGGCGTTCAGGGATCTTGTTATAGTCTCAGAACAAGATGAATAATAGAGTCAAATGCTTATTATAAATCAAGTTATAAGAGCAAAGCTATATAATAGTTATTTTCTTGTGTTTGTCTATAACAAGTTTTTTATTATTATGTGGTGCCATGTCTCACGTTCTCTTTTATATCTCTCTCCATATATACTCCACCGCTACATTAGCTCGCGTGCCGAGATTGTTCCTTGCATGAGAGCTAAGCTCGCCTCTCTCTCCATGTCAACAAAAATGTTGACTAGCTTGGCTATAAGACCAATTGTACGTGATCTAAGTGGCCACATATCCAGCAACTGGATGGCAAATACGGTGGTGGCGGAGGCACAACGATGGGGAAAGACGCTGTCGGATATCGATATTAGGGATACCCAAAGCAAGAAAGTTAGCGCCCACGTTGACTTCCCCAGATGGCTCGAGACGTATTAAAAGATCTCGCCCGACCCCAAGGTCGTGGGCTCCGTCTCGCCCGACCCCAAGGATGTGAGTTTCGTCTTGCCCAAGGCCGTGGGCTCCGTCTCGCCCGACCCCAAGGACGCGGTTTCCGTCTCACCCAAGGTCGCGGGCTCCGTCTCGCCTAACCTCGAGGACGCGGGTTCCGTCTCGTCCGACGAGGACCCATACCGCCGCCAACCACTCCAGGTCCAAGCGTATGGGTCTGGCTCAAAACTTTGACGGCGGAAAGAGACTGGCACTCCTCGATGTAACCCGTGGCCATGACAGGCCATACCTGAGGATTCACATCAAGAACAGTGTCGGACGTGCCGGTGTTGTTCTGCCTAATCCTGGTACGGACGCTGATAGGGACGGAGTGGAACGCCATGACCGGCAGATGACGCTACGTATGGCAACAGTGACGAACAGGGCCACGACATGGAGCCATCCATGTTGACATCTACATGATCAGTGGGACCCGCATGAAGGAGAAGAACCCAACAACCCTGGAAGCCTTCTTCTCTCTCATTCTTCTTCTTTTCCTACTCTATAACCCGCGCTTTCCCTTTGCCTATAAAAGGGGAAGCAGGGCGCCCCATGAAAAGGGGATCTGGACACAAGAGCATGACACGAGCACATGGCTTAGCGACAACTGAGCTCTCAACACCCGTTCACTCCTTCCACCAGAGACTTGGGATCCTCTCCTCTCTCTGCTTTGTTTGTAACCCCTCATCGCAAACCAAGTCTGCAGAATAACAAGCAAGCAGCCAATGAATCGAACATAGGGACGTTCCACTTGAACCAGTATAAACCCTTGTGTCCTCCGAGCACACCATCTGAGCCAGACGCGTAAATATAAATTTACTCGTCGGTGGTCCGAAAACACCGACAATTGGCGCGCCAGGTAGGGGCTTTTTGCGCGTCTCGACTTCCACATCAGGCCTCGGATGGCTAGTCACAGCGTCAGCTGGGTCCCGGGCGTGCACGTGCGCTTCGGGAACCTGGACTTCATCGTTATGACGGAGGGAGAGTTGGCGCAGGTTCTCGCCGCTGTCCAGCCTCTCCACTCCGTCGGCCTCGATGCGGTCGCCGAGATGCTTGAGGAGCTGCAGCTGCACGCACCGGGGGCCCACGCCCCCGGGAGCGACCAGCTCCTCGGCTTTGATTACCGGAGGCTACAACGCCAGCTCGGCACCTTCTCGGGACCCTGACCGTCCCAGGAGGACCTACGCCGCCTCACCTTCTCGTTCGCCAACGTTATGATGCAGCTTGCCGGAGAACAGTTGCTCTCCCCAGAATACCTCATTTGGAGCGCCCGACAGCGCTCCCGTTTGGTCTACGCAACGCCGTAGAGACCGTTGGCCACCTTATGGCGCAGCGCACGCCCCATCCCCTACGAATGATGAGTTCATGGGGATGACCGAATACGTCACGAAATCTTTCCACGACCTTCTCGCAGGAGGATCGGAGTTGCCCTCCGACTTTGATTCCAGCAGGGAGAGCCATCACCCCTCGCGAGAATGTTTCATGGCAGGTACCCCCGAGGGATACATCGAAAGCATCCATGAGGGAGGGGCTACCCCAACAGATGACCTCGACGATGAGGTCGAGGGGGATGTAGGGGGCCCACCTTGCCTACAGGTAGAGCAGCTGAGGGCGCGGCACCAAGAGCTCAAAGAAGCACGACTCTAGCTCGAGCAGGAACGTGCGGAGCTCGAGTGAGAGATCGAGCGCCACGGAGACGGTGGGCATGCACGCGCCGTGGCTCACGACATGAACCGGAGGATCATCAAGTATGATGAAGCCCTCCCACACTTCACCCAGGCAAGCCAGAACATTGTGGTCGCGGCGGCCTTGCTCCGGGGGCTTCTGGAGCCCGCGACACCCAAGGATTGTCGGTCCTATCAAGAGATTCACACGCTACTCGAGCATGCGGCGGTGCAGCAGGCCGAGAGCTCATTGTCCCGATGATGCGAGCTCGACGCCAGCCAGCGCGCGCCCTCAGAGCGACTCGATAGGGATGTGTTAGTCCACTAGGCGCAGCGAGGCGGCAGGCCACGCGTCACGGCCCCGGTGCATGAGCTTCTTGGCCTCCACCATGACGTGTGCAACACCTTGGATGCCTGCAGGCATGCCCACGGTGATGAGAGGGAGGAGGCTAGCCACGGCTACCACCCTCGACGTGGCGGCCCCTACGACAACGGCGAGGACCAAAGCCCGAGCCCCGACTTGTCCGGGACCTCAGGCTTTTGGCCAACACATCCTCAACGCCATCTTCCCATCGCGGTACTAACATCCCAAAATACTCTAGGAAAACAAACCCCAGACTATGACTTGAGGATTATCGGCTTGCTTACCAAGTTGGTGGAGTGAAAAGTGATAATTTCATTATCCGCAACCTTCTATTGTTCCTAGCCGATTCGGCACGAACGTGATTGGAACACCTTCCGTCCAACTGAATCCAAAGTTGGGCGGACCTAAAAGATATCTTCGTGGGAAATTTCCAGGGCACATACATGCGTCCTGGGAACCCATGGGATCTCAAAAACTGCCAATAGAAGTCTAGGGAAACTCTTCATGGGTACATCCGGCGCTTCTCTCGGTAGTGCAACGAGCTGCCCGACGTCGCCGACGCCGACGTCATAGGAGTTTTCCTGTCTGGGACCACCTGCGAGTCCCAGGTTCACAAGCTAGGATGTAAGGGCCTACAAACCACCAAGGAGCTCATCGACATCACCACCAGCCATGCCTCGGGCGAGGAGGCAGTCGGGGTGATTTTTGACTGCCCCAAGGGCATGGCAAAGCGGGACGAGGACGCCAGCGAAGGCGCCTCCAACCGCCCCAACAAGAAGAAGAACAAGCAGCGGCGCGAGGGCTCGCTCATGGCCACTGTCGACTGCAAGGGGGGTCAGAAGCCCGCCAAGGGTACCCTAGACCACTTCGAGAAGCTGCTCGAAGGGCCATGCCCAAACCATGCTTTCCCCGTCAAGCACCTATACAAGGACTGC